AGGAACTCTGTATAATACAAACTATATTTGAGAAGATGACTCTAAACAATTAATGTTAGCTCTGAAGGTTGAAATTTTTTGAACCCGAAATCGGCGTCCTCCAACCTTTCAATTTCAGGTGAGCATATTCCTGGCTATGTTACTCAGTGTAACCAGAACCATCCCAATAGCTTTCTTACGTTATCAGATACGACAATGCTGGGTCTTATCCGCTTCCCTACTCTACAGTTTTGTAATCCTGATAGAACCGCTCCTCGGAATGTTGGATAAAATCAACTACAGCTACCTCTACAACGGGAACAATCCTAACTGCTTCCAGTTGGCAGCGCTAGGTCTTCCTTTCTACGTTCAGTACCTTCTGGAAGCTACAAACATTCTTCTTGTCTCACTTGTCACTTTTTTCAGTTTTATAGTTACTTTGGTTAAACTTTGCTCTATTCCAAATTCAGGTTCAAGATCAAAGCAGCGGTTCAGGCAAGCGTCCATAACTGTAGCTATCTTCACTGCCATATTTCTGATATGTAACCTCCCCATGTTTGGAATGGTTATAGTATACCTTGTTAACGAGATATTGTATGGTTATCCAGGAATTTTCTCTCAGTTTTTCATGAACTATTACTCTTGGTTGGTTGCTAAAATTGTCTGTGTGGTACTTAATGCGAGTCTTAACCCAGTTCTTTACTTTCTGCGAATGAAGGACTTCAATAGCTGGGTCAGAAAGGGAGGGAAGAAACAATCCGTCTCATCAGATCCATCCTCTGTTGGTGCAAGTTAATAATTTACTTTACGTTTTACAAAATGTCATAGTGATAATTGTTATATTTTTTGTTATTTTGTATAATCATATTATACTGTTTAAATTTATCTATTAATGCTGCTTGCTGTGTGATTTCTCCTCCTCCTTCAGCTCATGGAAATTGTGCATTTAAATTACGGAGTAATGTTATTCATTCTTCTCAGTTCATTCGGATTATCATAATCTTATAATCTTATTTTACGCTTACATTTCCTTAATATCATAATTAAATGAGCATTCGTTGTAAAAATAAAAGAGTAAAAGCCGCCCCGCATATTAATGTATTAATATACTGGAAATAAATATAAGCCGTATCAGAATTTAATATCTAGTGATATAATTATAGGACATTAGAGGTTGTTCACATATTACGAGGCCAGGAGGGAGGGGGGGGGGGTTTCCAAATGATAATTTTGACACAATATCTATTCTATGTGTAAAAGTGATAACGGAGGGGGAAGGGGGGGGGGGGGGGGGGGGTTAAAAATGTGCCAAAAGTGATAACGTAATAATATGTGAACGACCTCTTATTGTAAATATTTTCCTTTGTTTCATGTATTAAAAGATTAAAGTATTAACATTATGTGTTTATATTCGTCCAACTGGAAAGTGATGGTGGTTTAATGGTCAATTAATGCATAAGGAATAAGGATCCCATAAAAGCATGAAGAACAGAGAAAATATATTACGTCAATATTGTACTAAAGTAATACTTTATTACCGTTCCTTAGTAGTGAAGTACATTGTCATTAAACTAAATCAACTCTCAAGGGAGTTAATTAATACCCCAGAGGTACGTCCTTTCTCCGACACACTTGGAGAACCTTTTTTAATTAACTTTGCAATATCTGCGAGTTATTAGGCCAGGTTTCCCTTTCACGGCAATACAGCTCCGCCTACTGATCTCATTAATAAAAGTAGAGTTACTAGAGAGCTAGAGCGAGACTACTGCTCTGGAGATTTAATTAAGGGGTGAAATGGTGATCCGCAGTTAATCTCTTATAATCAAGTTGAACATGTACCGAACCACACACTTACAGTAATTGATCAAGTGTGTTATATATTAAACAGATGGCATAGTCTCATCACACAATATTCGGGCACCTGTCCCCTATCTAGATTTTAAGTTTGTGTGTACTTACCAACTCTCAAATGTACTTACCCACTGTACTTACCCACTGAACTTACCCACTGTACTTAGTACTTACCCACTGTACTTAGTACTTACCCACTGTACTTACCCACTGTACTTACCCACTGTACTTAGTACTTACCCACTGTACTTACCCACTGTACTTACCCACTGTACTTAGTACTTACCCACTGTACTTATTCACTGTACTTACCCACTGTACTTACCCACTGTACTTACCCACTGTACTTACCCACTGTACTTAGTACTTACCCACTGTACTTACCCACTGTACTTAGTACTTACCCAATATACTTACCCACTGTACTTACCCACTGTACTTAGTACTTACCCACTGTACTTACCCACTGTACTTACCCACTGTACTTAGTACTTACCCACTGTACTTACCCACTGTACTTACCCACTGTACTTACCCACTGTACTTACCCACTGTACTTACCCACTGTACTTACCCACTGTACTTAGTACTTACCCACTGTACTTATTCACTGTACTTACCCACTGTACTTACCCACTGTACTTACCCACTGTTCTTATCCACTGTACTTAGTACTTACCCACTGTACTTACCCACTGTTCTTATCCACTGTACTTAGTACTTACCCAATATACTTACCCACTGTACTTACCCACTGTACTTACCCAATATACTTACCCACTGTACTTACCCACTGTACTTACCCACTGTACTTACCCACTGTACTTACCCACTGTACTTACCCACTGTACTTACTAGGAACCGACCGGAAATCCGGCTGAATCCGGTTCCGGCCGGATATCCGGCTTCAAAATCCGGTTCCGGCTCCGGCTCCGGCTGGAAAAAAATTTGCCGGATTTTTGCCGGATTTCAGTTTTTTTTACCGAAAAAAAAAATCAAAAAAATATTTTCGGCTAATAATGAACAGGGTAGCCTGAATCGTGGAAAAAAAAGTGGTTTTCGGAAAAACTTTTAAAAAATTTTGACTTAGAAGTTTTTCGGTCCGAGTCGTTCTCGAGACGTACCTCCTGTATCGAGAGCTCCCGCTTCCGAGCTCGTGTTGCAAAGGGGAGGCCTGCCTTCCAAGATCACATTACCGGGGGAAACCTCGAGTCCAGAATTGTGTATCGATGGGTAGGTGCAGACTTCGAAAAACCGAAAAAATATTTTCGGCTAATAATGAACAGGGTAGCCTGAATCGTGGAAAAAAGTGGTTTTCAGAAAAACTTTGAAAAATTTTGACTTAGAAGTTTTTCGGTCCGAGTCGTTCTCGAGACGTACAACGTACCTCCTGTAATTGTATCGAGAGCTCCCGCTTCCGAGCTCGTGTTGCAAAGGGGAGGCCTGCCTTCCAAGATCACATTACCGGGGGAAACCTCGAGTCCAGAATTGTGTATCGATGGGTAGGTGGGGACTTCGAAAAACCGAAAAAATATTTTCGGCTAATAATGAACAGGGTAGCCTGAATCGTGGAAAAAAGTGGTTTTCAGAAAAACTTTGAAAAATTGTGACTTAGAAGTTTTTCGGTCCGAGTCGTTCTCGAGACGTGTACCTTCTGTATCGAGAGCTCCCGCTTCCGAGCTCGTATTGCAAAGGGGAGGCCTGCCTTTCGAGATCACATTACCAGGGGAAAGCTCGAGTCCAAAATTGTGTATCGAGGGGTAGGTGGGGACTTCGAAAAACCGAAAAAATATTTTCGGCTAATAATGAACAGGGTAGCCTGAATCGTGGAAAAAAAGTGGTTTTCAGAAAAAATTTGAAAAATTTTGACTTAGAAGTTTTTCGGTCCGAGTCGTTCTCGAGACGTACCTCCTGTATCGAGAGCTCCCGCTTCCGAGCTCGTGTTGCAAAGGGGAGGCCTGCCTTCCGTGATCACATTACCAGGGGAAACCTCGAGTCCAGAATTGTGTATCGAGGGGTAGGTGGGGACTTCGAAAAACCGAAAAAATATTTTCGGCTAATAATGAACAGGGTAGCCTGAATCGTGGAAAAAAGTGGTTTTCAGAAAAAATTTGAAAAATTTTGACTTAGAAGTTTTTCGGTCCGAGTCGTTCTCGAGACGTACCTCCTGTATCGAGAGCTCCCGCTTCCGAGCTCGTATTGCAAAGGGGAGGCCTGCCTTTCGAGATCACATTACCAGGGGAAACCTCGAGTCCAGAATACAGAATAGTGTATCGAGGGGTAGGTGCGGACTTAGAAAAAACCGGAAAATATTTTGGGCCACCTCCCTGGGCTAGCCCCCGGCTATAATCGCAAAATTGGCAGTATTTAATCTTCTGATTATGAAATACGAAATATGAAGGTCACGTGTTCAGGGTCTGGGTAGCTACTTAATTAGCTCATTACTGCAATCATGTGACTCAGCTCTAGACGCCAGACGGTGATTAATACTGTACTAGACAGTGCCTGCTTACGAACAACCTTATTAAGCACCTCTGGTTGTAAGTCACGTGACCCAATGATACTCAGACTTGCATGAAAAAAAGGGAATTCGCACAAACGCGCTCAATCAGGGGTCTGGCAGCATATGCCAATTAGATATCATTTCTGATTATTACTCGTCTAGTGTCGTGACTCATGTCTACTCGTGTTACATTGTGTCTGCTACGTACTGCTTGTTTAAGCAATGTCTAGTAGTAGATAGGAAGATTTGTTAAAAAAACTATATCTGTTCGGACGTTGAAGCCGCCCTAAGTCGAGTCGAGTAGTAGTAAATCTAAAACATCGTCCGTCTGGTTGTTCTACTCAGAAGAAAATGGGATCCCTTATGCAAGCTGCAAGAAGTGCTCGATGAAGATTAGGCGTGGAAAGGAAGGAAATTTTCCGGCAACATCCGGCAAAAACCGGCAAAATCCGGCAAAATCCGGCTGCCTTTTATTTCACTCTGAAACCACCGGTTCCGGTCCGGCAAAATCCGGCTTGCCGGATTTGAGATCCAAATCCGGCTGAATCCGGTCCGGCAGCCAAAACCCCAATCCGGTCGGTTCCTAGTACTTACCCACTGTACTTACCTACTGTACTAACCCACTGTACTTATCCACTGTTATACTAACCCACTGCTCCTCCCTCAGGTGACTGACTACGCCCTGTTAGCAAAGTCAGGGTTCTCCCGCCGACAAGTAACACTAGCACAGCTGTGGACGTGTTTCAGTGGTATTCTGGGCAGTATTACGGGCATCATCTTCGATAAGTCCTTCTGTTGTCAGGTAAGCTTTGTTCATTATTAGTTATTTCTTCGTTATACTTATATTTAAGACCCTTATCTATTATAAGACCCTTATCTATAAGACCCTTATATTTAAGACCCTTATCTATAAGACCCTTATCTATAATATCATTATCTGTAAGACCCTAAGTATCTATAAGACCCTTATCTATAAGACCTTTATTTATAAGACCCTAAGTATCTATAAGACCCTAAGTAACTATAAGACCCTAACTATCTATAAGACCCTTACCTATAAGACCCTTATCTATAAGACCCTAAGTATCTATAAGACCCTTATCTATAAAACCCTTATATTTAAGACCCTTATCTATAATAAGACCCTTATCTATAAGACCCTTATCTATAAGACCCTAAGTATCTATGAGACCCTTATATATAATACCCTTATATTTGAGACCCTTATCTTTAAGGGGGCCGGGGGGGGGGGGGGTCTTCATCAAAATTCTCTCGAAATTGATTTTATAGTTGTTTCTGATAGAGGGGAGTGATATCTATCAGCTGCTTTTGGTCCCATGGAAAAATATTGTTCCTAGCCAAAATTATCGCCAGTCAAAGGTCAGCGCTTATGTGTAATTGTATTGCGCGAGCGATTTTCAATCGCGCGCCCTGAAAATCGAGTCTAAAAATCTATCTTCTCCTACATTTTTTGAGCAATCACCCTGAAACTTTCAGGATATGTTCTATGGATCATTTAGAAGATATCTGTCGAGCCGAATTTTGAGATAGGCCTTAGAAGATTTTTTATTCAATTTTGAAAATCTTGGACCTCATTTTTTTACGATTTTTCCAGGTCCAAGATTTTCAAAATTGAATAAAAAATCTTCTAAGGCCTATCTCAAAATTCGGCTCGACAGATATCTTCTAAATGATCCCTAGAACATATCCTGAAAGTTTCAGGGTGATTGCTCAAAAAATGTAGGAGAAGATAGATTTTTAGACTCGATTTTCAGGGCGCGCGATTGAAAATCGCTCGCGCAATACAATTGTCAATTACACATGAGCGCTGACCTTTGACTGGCGATAATTTTGGCTAGGAACAATATTTTTCCATGGGACCAAAAGCAGCTGATAGATATCACTCCCCTCTATCAGAAACAACTATAAAATCAATTTCGAGAGAATTTTGATGAAGACCCCCCCCCGGCCCCCTTATTTTTAAAACCACTAAACAGTTTGTGCTCTATCACGTAACGCAGTTGTGGAAGTGTAGAGAGATCAGGATAGAATAGTGACCGTTAGATATGGAGAGTATAATTCCGCTTTTGAGTAATTCCAACAGGATGATTTAAATCATGCACATTAAGATAATTTACAAGCAGAACCAAGGTGGTGGTATGTGAGCGCTCAGGAGATGAAATAGAATAGTTTCCGATAATTTCTTTATTGCACGTCATCATGACGTCGCAACTGAGCAAGCTCCCTTTAAGGTCCCCAGTTTTAATAAGTTCTTACTGGTGGGTTGAGGATCGACTAGACAGATAAATCTAAATTATGCCGGTTTCCAATAGATTCTACAGAGCGAAATTTGTAATAATTTGTCAGCATTAGCAGCTTTTACTCTCACTGATCTGTGATTCGTTCCATTTTTATTGATCATGTAAAATGATGTCAACTATTGTGTAACTATGGCCGAGCACTGGAATATTTCACCTCAAGACGAGGTCATTTGAACTCCCTGATATATAACGGTAGTTATTATCTTTGCTAGAGAAATACATTTTTATAAGCATTTTAGAGCAAAATGTTTGTTCATAGCATTAGTCATGATAGAATATGTGGCAAGGAAAATATTTCTCAAATTATGTGGGGCTTTCAGTGGCCTTCCTAACTTGATAAATTAAAGAAGAAATGTGACCCTCCCTGGGGTTTCCGTCAACGCAAAATACAATATTATATATTAAACTAATTTATTCAAAATATATTTAACTAATTTTTTTCTGGGGTTGACTTAGCGAGAAGCATAATATTAGCGATTTGGAAATTAATCAGACTGAACATATTCCAGGGAGAAACATAATCATCTGTAACCTGTAAATGTCTTAAAAATGTCAAATGATTTTATTTTTCTAAAACAGTACATTTTGTTCAGGCGGTTGTTTTACCACTGACGTCCGGGATATTCCTCTACGTGTCTCTCACCTCCTTAATACCCTCCCTCCTTCAAGCTACACCTAAACAATCCATCGTACAAACTATTGTCGTTATTTGTGGACTGTTACTTACTTACACTGTAGCCCATTAAAATTAACTTGAATATTAATTTCTTAAATTTCAGTAATGTTATTGTTTTCCAGCACATTCTATTTTTGTAGTTACCAACAAGATTATTGTACGTGATGTAAATCAGGTCTTTGGGTAATGTGAACAATCTTCAGAGTAAAGGGAGGTGTTTTATATTTGTGGCTCGCTACTTGCTAGTATGTAATGTTGGAGAGGCTTTTGAAATGATTTATTATTATTAAGTTGATTGAAAATAAAGAATTTTATTTTGTGTCTACGGTCTAAGGTAGATTCCTTAACCAAAATTAGGTTAAGAATCCATCTGGATTAATTGTTCAATAAAGTCAAGGTGTTCTGATAGCTGTACAGTGTACAGTGTACAATGTACAATGTACAATGTACAGGCATAAACATTTTAACTTACCCAGATTATAGTAATTAAGTTATTTTTAGTACACGTGCTTAAACCAATTATTCCAGCCTTGTATCTGGAACCTCTAATTCCTTGCTTTGTTAATTAAGGTATGATTATTATTGGAGTGATAGTTGAATATCAGAAAGGTTGGGTTTAAAACATTTAAAAGCGCAAAAATGAATGTATGTATTGCAAAGTATAAAACTAGCATCGAAATAGACTTTAAATATTAAATTTGACATTTGCAGTGCTGTTTTAGATAAATGTACTTTTTAAACATATCGATTTACATTAAAGGGGGTGTTTATTTTGTGTAACGTTGGGTTAGTTTTGTTTTAAATGTTCTTAGTGTAATAAAGTGTTATCATATGCATATCACGATCAAACATAAATATTAAATCATATTTTTTTTTCAGAAGCTGTATCAATTCTTCTCCCGTCATTCAATGAACCTTAAAAAGTTTATCAGTCTGTCTACACTAATATTTGATGGTTTATGGTTATTACTCAAGCACCATCTGGCAAAATATCTCAGGAGGAAAATGATTCGATACAATTACAATAACCCTGCTACTACTATAACTGTTATGCCACGTCAGTACTGTAAACGTGGGCTATTTTAATATATAAGTCATCCAAACCATGCTCAGTAGCATAATATGTTGAAATTAGGTGTGGCCATACTCTACCAGAGGTTTCCAGAAGCATTCTTTTCTGCTGCTCCAGTCTTACGAAAGCTTAATATTTACTGCGTAACCTAATTCGGTGCATATAATAATATATTATAATCTCATCCTGCACCAGGCAATGTTCTAGAAAATAGGAGTTTCGTCTTCGTAACGCGCGAAACCTTAAAACTAGATATGGCCGCGCAAAATATACCACGTGATCGCGCGCGTTCGTGCTAACTTAATTAAATTAGCTAATTAATTATTTGGAAGTTTTGCAGTTTGCAATGTGCGTGACAGTGCATGGCACTTGTATTTCTCGGAGATTGTTTCGTCTGACTGTTTTATCACTTACGTTTTCAACGGCATACTTTGAACAATTAAACTTTTTTCTCCTTCATTTATTTACTTCCGTGAGATGAATATAGTAATACTCTTTTGTCCGAACCAACGCCTACTTTAACGTCGTCAGTTATCGATTACCAAACGCATTATATTACGTATAGTCTATTTAAGGATCTACCTGGACCTCTTTCAGCCGTGAACAGGAGTGGTGAACCGTGAATGCCGTTCCAAGTAGTTTTAGTTTAGAAGTAGTCCATGTTGCATGTGTAGTGGAATGCAGAGGGGTTGAGGAACGTAACAGATCCTGACTGTTTTAAATGTATGACCGAAATTTGAGATTTGAATTAAATTACGTAATACGTGAACAATCCCTATATTTATTATAAAAATTCAGTAGATAATATTAGTCAAAGGTCATTTAAACTCACGAGTAATTATGATTAGCTAGAGAATTGATAAACTAAGTTCATTTACGAAAAATAACGACAGAGGTTAAAACACAAAAATGTCACAGCAATGATAAGTAAAATTCCAGAGGTATTGGATAATAAAATTGGATTAAAAAGAAAATTGACGAGAATTATGAAATAAATAATTATTCAGCGCTAAATTTCTCAATGATATGTCAAGGATGATCTAGGATCGAGCAATGGCAGAGTTTTTCATTTTCATGTAAACACAATTGATTTCCGCTTTGTCGTTCATCACGTGGATAACGCACCCAAATTTAGTGTTCTCGTCATCAAACTGAAAATATTCAATGATTAATAACGGTATGTGAATGTCTAACGCATTTCCTTTCGAAAGTTGATATTTTATTATAATAATACGAGGAGAGTACAGCATATAAAATATACCAGCGTCATAACCATATAATACGGGTCAAAAACCAGGACAGAGCCAGTGGCGTAACTTTGCCTGTTGGCGCCCCCCCCCCCCCCCCCCCCGCTCAGTGACGAAAAGCGCCCCCCTAAAAATTTTTGTGTCCCTAAAAAAAAAAAAAAAGGTCGGGTACTTTTTTTCTCGCCCCCCTACAGCTTTTTGCGCCCCCTGAAGCAAAAAAAGGTACCCCAAATATTTTTTTTTCGCGTCGACCGAACGCTAAATTGGACAGGGAAATACACAAACAAGGCGTTTTTTCAGTGAAAGGGCCTAAAATTCAAGAAAATTGCGCCCCCCTCATACGGCGCCCCCCCGCACAGCGGGGTCTGCGGGGCCCTAAGTTACGCCACTGGACAGAGCAAAACTGAATATGTTTAACATAATATGTTTCTTAACACTCAGTTTTACTCATAGCTATTGTTACACATAGTGTAATCATTAAGAACCCCTCCCCCTCATTGATTACGTAATATGTGAACGACCCCTTACATGTTTCTTCACAATAGTGTAGGTTCGCTGGAAGTAAGTTCGCACCAAATGCCGGGTACTGTAAGGTTCCTTGCGGATGAAGAGTGCATAGCATCTGTACCTGAAAGAGATATGTTAACAAACAAATGACAATTTTCTACCTTAAAGTTAAAACCGTAACCATCCAATTCGTTCATATGAGAGCAGGAGTTGCAGCTTATGGCTTATGCTAAGAATATACTTGATTATTGAACGTTCGAATAAAACCCCGATGAAATATACATACTCGCTGGTGCACCGATCCGATTTGACTCGGATAAAACAGCGAGTTGCTCCACATTTGTCCGTTTTGAAAGTCCCAAAAGTCTCTTTTGCTATCTCCCTGGCTTCCTCGGAGTAAACAGTGTGGAGATCGTATACTGTGTTGGTTTGGTGCTCCTCGTGCAGTCTCTGTGTTTCTGCTTTGTCTGAGCAGGTGGATACGTCAAACTAGCAATAGACTAGTAAGATAGGTTAGTCAAACTAGCAATAGACTAGTAAGATAGGTTAGTCAAACTAGCAATAGACTAGTAAGCTAGGTTAGTCAAACTAGCAATAGACTAGTAAGATAGGTTAGTCAAACTAGCAATAGACTAGTAAGATAGGTTAGTCAAACTAGCAATAGACTAGTAAGCTAGGTTAGTCAAACTAGCAATAGACTAGTAAGCTAGGTTAGTCAAACTAGCAATAGACTAGCAATAGTCTAGCAAACTAGGTAAGTTTAACATGTTTTCTAATGAACTGATAATAACAAATAAAAGCGCAACTCACGCTCTAACAGCTGTATGGGAGCAGCGGAGTAGGCTAGGGTTATTATCGCCAGTAACAGACACAGGGCCTGTTTCACTACTGCCATAATTTCCTTTAAAATATCAGTGTTATTTGAGGTTATCTTCTCGTGCACTGTTTCATGTTCATTGTTATTATTTATGCTATATTAATTTTATGATAAATTACAAATTCTTCCACGGTCCTCTTTACTGTGATTCAAATCTTCTGCAAAACAGAAAGTTTCTTCTGCTATAATGATATTCTAGCACAATAACACATGACAGCTAATCCTTTCTTTTCAAACAAAATTATGCTTAGACGGGAAATGTTACCTTAAAGTCAGTATCTACAGTATGTCTCTATATACTGTGCCTCTCTAATCTCTATACACCACACATTTACAAGCGGGCTATTCATATAAAGGTCGACCTTGTTGACTTTAGTGTCGTGTTGATGAACAAACCTTTTGCACAGGTTCAGGACATCTAGGCAGGGTGCACAGGTTCAGGACATCTAGGGTGTATATCCCAAAGTAAGCTAGATATCCCGAAATGCAACAAAAATAAATTTCAACAGAGTGTGGAACAATGCCTAACTGACCTGCGACTGTTTTCTTGTTGTGGTCATATACTCATTATATATCCTGTACGTCCAAGGTATAACTGTATATAAAGATATAAGTTAGCGACTTTAGTTCACGTGATACTGTAGCAACAACAATATTAACGAAACTTATGAGGTATACTGGGCTTCTTCTTTGTACCCTAACTAATAGTAATAGTAAACATGCGTCACAGAGAAAATTTCGATTGTTGAACAGTGCAAAATAAAGTGAGAATCTAGCAAGCAGGTTTGTGATAAGGTTTTATGATAGACTTACATACCATCTACCACGTAGGCTAGACCAACGACAAATCTCACAACATCTTATTAACATATTACTTTACCAGCTATCACTACCAGTACCACGTAGGTTAGACCAACGACAAATCTCACAACATCTTAACATATCGCTCCATCAAAACAGGAGCACGACGATTTCATCTAAAATGGTGTTGTTCTTAAACCAAACAGTAAACAGTCGACAACACATAAGTTATACGTTTGTCAAAACATGTAATAATCTCTGGGGGCCCGCCCCAATAGATTTTAATGATGATTAATTATAATTCGTGCCTTTGTGAGCGAAATAAAACTTGTCATAAGTTGACGAATAAGTCGGATAACGGAAATTAATAAAGTGCAATAAACGGGTCATTATCGCTTTGGCACTGCACGTGGAGTTAATATATAACGTTGTAACGTAGCCAGTAAACAGCTGATAATTAATGAAGTATATTATATTGACAAGTTTATCATCTTATTAACAAGTTAGCATGCTATCTACGTATTACCTGCTTAGTGACGTATGAATTCTAAGGAACATTGTGACACGTGTTGTTTAAAGGAAGCAGTAAAAACAATAAAAACAGGTCCCTGACCACTGGTCTGGGACCTGTTGACCAGTGACCACCCAAACTGTGAAGTTCTTAGTTTGGAGAGTCCGTGTCAAAAAGTTAACAGTTCTGAAGTGGATCACTTCAGAACTGTTTTTCAAAATGTCGCCCAGCAATTTAAAAAGGAGTGTGCAATAGATCAATTATAGAGATCTGAAACAATGAAAATAACAATAAACTCCAGCCCCGTTGATAAATGCCTTGGCTAAATAAGTTCAACAATCGATATAATCTATTATTGCACAATACAGCTGCAAGATTGAGCACTGTAAAGTAGAGGCTGAGTAGTTGGTCGGATATCAGATACAGTGCATGCTGCAGACATTGTGCTTACTTTATATGTGAAGAAACAAATAAATATTTCTTCTAGCAGCTGCTAGAATAAATATTGAACTTTTAACTGCACCATGATAATGACACTCATGCACCACCGAGATATTAAAAGCAATCGACATTATCAATTGGAAGTCGTCTGATAAGCGTAGAGCTGCTTAAACTTTAATTTGATTTTAATGCAGTGTGATCATGACAACTATGCTATATCAGCTCTGCACCACTAATAGTAGTAGTAAACGTCATGTGGCCCATCTGCTTACCGATACTCCAATATATCACAAATACAGTTGTCGTAAACGTCACAGTACGATTCACAACGTCATGTGCCCTGACCAACAAGTATCCCCGGGGTAGTTCCACAACTGTACTAGCCTCCGAAAATAATTATGACACGGTATTGATATGTTTTGGACATGTTAAAGGAATCTCTTGATGAGAATCGAACTGCAGCCATTCTCTTTGACAGTAACATATTTAAAGAAACTTATAGCACAATATTTTGTGAAATACATAAAAGTTTGTATATCTAGACTGGTGGTAACAAAATTGTAACCGATGTACAAAGCAAATAAACGCTGAATGTAGCTGATTGCATACCGTGTCGTATCAAGTTTTTTATCATCTCTCCTTCTTCAGAGACATGCTTTATTTCATCATACCATGTCATATCACGTTTTATCGTCTCTCCTTCTTCAGAGACAGGCTTTCTTTCAGCATACCTTGTCGTATCACGTTTTATCGTCCCTCCTTCTTAGCTTCTTCAGAGACAGGCTTTCTTTCAGCATACCATGTCGTATCACGTTTTATCGTCTCTCCTTCTTCAGAGACAGGCTTTCTTGCAGCATACCGTGTCGTCTCTCCTTCTTCAGAGACAGGCTTTCTTTCAGCATACCATGTCGTATCACGTTTTATCGTCTCTCCTTCTTCAGAGACAGGCTTTCTTTCGGCATACCATGTCGTATCACGTTTTATCGTCTCTCCTTCTTCAGAGACCGACTTTATTTCAGCATACCGTGTCGTATCTTGTTTTTATCGTCTCTCCTTCTTCAGAGACAGGCTTTCTTGCAGCATACCGTGTCGTCTCTCCTTCTTCAGAGACAGGCTTCCTTTCAGCATACCGTGTCGTATCATGTTTTATCGTCTCTCCTTCTTCAGAGACAGGCTTTCTTTCAGCATACCGTGTCGTATCATGTTTTATCGTCTCTCCTTCTTCAGAGACAGGCTTTCTTTCAGCATACCGTGTCGTATCATGTTTCATCGTCTCTACTTCTTCAGAGACATTCACTATTTCAGTCAAGGTATTTATCCTTATATTTATTATTGGTTTTTAAATTTTTATTTTATTTATCAGTTTAATTTGCAGAAAGTGGTGTCAATATTATCGATTATCCTTCTTCCAACTACTTAAAAATAGGTACCATGGACACTGGATCTCAGCAACATACAGAAGATACTGCCTGTCATCATTATAGAGTCTAGCGAATTCTACCCACAGGTCAGTCAGGCAGTGGATAACACTCTGATGACATCTTCTTTTGGAGATTTTCGGACTCTCAGACTACCTAGTTGAGTGTGTTCCATAACCTAGCACCCTGCCTAAACGTCCGGTACTCCTGGACCTATGTGGCAAGCCTGCTCCCTGAACAAAACAAAAAAAAGAAAAAAAAGAAGCTGATTGCTCCTTCATTAACAAATTTATCTGATAAATACTAATTGGTGTAGCACCTTTTCAAAAGGTGCTACATACAAAAGGCTTTTGTATTTTACTCCTGTACGCTTGTCTTATCGCTGTCAGTGTCACTATTTAACTTTAAGATACAGGAAAACAGCGAATAAACAAGCAAACAATAGATACAGGATGGAAACAAATAAAACATCAAAACATTTTGAATTGGGAGTCATATCAGGTAGGGCCGAAAAAAATCTGGTATGCGGTTTTATCTCCACAAATTAAAAGATTAATAAATATGTCAACCTGCAGGAGTGATAGCTCAATTACGATCAGTGCTGCCGAAGATCCTGATCATTAAATGGTGCAAATCTGACTTGTGGCACGTGCTTATATTTGCAGAAACAGTCATGAGTTAACAGGTGATCATGGCATGGGTAAAACTGCATGACTGAAACTTTGCATGAATGATAATGAATGAGGTTAAACAAAATTGCAACGTTGAATTTATTAACTACTTTAAAATTAAATGGTTGTGGTTAGTGCGAATATTCAAACTTTATGCAGGAAGATAGATCGTATAAGTTATATTAATTTGTTATGCTATAACGTTGATTTAACCACTGCGCCGCATGCGCCGTGCATCTGCCTCCACATTTGCTAGAGGGACAAATGACCAGCGATGGTAATGAAAATTTGTGAACATTAGTAGCAAATTGACGACTACATGTTAGCACTATATTAGTAGTTCTAGTAGCAGAGGGTGTACACTGTACCTGTGCAAATAGGTCCCAGCTCGCCGATCTTATAGTTATACTTTATACTTTAATACTTACATCATGCCACAAAGCTGGGTTGAGTATTTGTTGTACAGGATATTGGACTTCAAGCTGACTGTTAATGTTAAGAGTTTTATATAAGTAGTATATAAGTAATATTGCAGTGTGATCTTTCAGTCAGATCTCTACAGTAAGAACAGTTGATTCTAGAATATACGAGTTCAGTTATAATCTTATAAACATACTTAATAATTACATCATGCCACAAAGCTGGGTTGAGTATAATATGTTGTTCAGGATATTGGACTGCAAGCTGACTGTTAATGGACTTCATAGCGAGTATAATAAGACTTAAGAGTATAAGGAATATTGCAGTGTGGTCGATTTCAGTCAGATCTCTACAGTAGGTACAGTTGATTCTAGAATCTAGTAGTATATCTCTACAGTAGGTACAGTTGATTCTGGAATCTACCAGTTATAAGCACACGACCATTGTTTATGAGAAATGAGAAAATAATAATAAAGTAAGGAATAAATAACTGACTGGAAAATAAACCATTGACAAGAATTTGAGAAATTAAGTTCAATTATCAAAACGTACACTATTCAAAGACAAAGCCAAGTAACCGGACGTCTGGTTAAACGGTAATTTCGGGTAATGTGATCCTTTTATAATTATAAACCACTCCTCTTTACTGGATCACTAATCAGATTTATAAGGTACTTTTCACGCTATCACCATTTTGGTAATCGTGTAACGTCATCAATTGGGTTTTTTCAAAACGTCAATCCCAATCCGCTAGAACT